CGGAAAAACTCCAACGCGCTAAATCCAGCTCCTTCACTTGTCCGGGGGCCACTTAGCTCGGCGGTGACTTTGTGCTGCGCGCGGTACGAAGCCCTTTACGTCCGTCATCCCGTATAATTCTTTCAGCAAAACCGAGGTGGGCGGTACGGCCTTGATTTGCAAAGGAACTTGCCCCAGGCCTTGGGGCCCACGCGCCCTGGGACCGCTGCAGGCCGGGGCAGAAGTGCGAGGCTGCGGCCTGTTCTCAGCCTCCACATTTCCCCTCCGCATCCCCCTCCAGGAAGCACCGCCGAGCAGCCAGGAGTCTTTCTTGGCTCCTGACCCAAGTACCTGTCCTTCCCCTGGTCTCACTTTTAAGGGAGGTTCCGCCTTCCCTGACCCGTTCACATAGATCTGAACATGCACCACGGTATGAAGAGATGCACCTCCTCCGAGGGAGGGGGCTGTGTGACGCTGGCCCAGTGCATGTGAGTGAGCGAGGGGCCGTGGAACGGAGACCCCGGCCCAGGCGGGAGGGGGATTGGCGCCCAGGCCCTGGCTTTGCAGCTGTGACTCTCACATGTGTCAGAGTTCGTGTGATACAGCGAAACCATGATTAACTGAGTTGCACGTGAAGCCCATCCGTAACATTGTTTTGGAGCCGAATAGAGCAACATTAGCAATTGCTATCTCACTGCTAAGCACTTAAAAATGTTGCTCCATTGAAAGAAAAATGTATTTCTGATTTATTTTGTTGCTGTGGAAAAGAAATTATCCTACATTTTGAAAAAGAGAGGCACTTTAAAATTGAGACTATCTCTAAGTTGTGAATCCAACATTTTCCTTCCGCCAGAGAACATTGCCCATGAAAAGATGAGCTCTGGGGGTTGTTGCGCCAGGAGGCAGCTGCTTAAAACCACAGTCCTAACAGCAAAGGAAACGTTAACAGGTAGGGGATTGAACTGGGGCTTTGATTTCCATGTTATTAAATAAAATTCTGCCACCATGTAAATCACACACTCATGTATTAGGCTATGTTTCTACAGTGCTTGAGAAATTTTCAGTATTCAGTATGATTTCAAGTTTACGTTCTAAATACCCTAAGCCTTGATTAAGAAAGAGGGATGGTTAGTGGGAAGGGGAAGTAGCTAAGAGTGTTAGTTATCTACTCGGAGGGTAACTAGGAAGATTTCATGCTATGCCTGAGTCCCCCCTGCCCCCATCACACCTGAAGGCGGGGGCCTACTCTGTCACTCCCTGCTGACATTCTCAGGAGGTCCTCAGAGAAAGTGAGAGAGAGTGGGAGAGGGAGAGAGAGATGGAAACATTTATGGGAGAGAAACATCAATCGGCTGCCTCCTGCACTCCCCCTACTGGGGATCAAGCCCACAACCGGGGCATGTGCCCTGGAATTGAATGGTGACCTCTGGGTGCATGGGTGGACACTCGACCACTGAGACACACCAACAGGGCTGAAGAAATTGCTCTTTGACTGATGATTCAAAGTCCACTGTTTTCATTTTTACTTTCTTTTTTTTAAAAAAAAACACTTTATTGTTGCAAGTATTACATATGTCCCCCTTTTTTTCTCCATTGACTCTCTC